ATGGTGATGGTGATGGTGATGGTTGTCGGATTCCCCATTTTCTCAAGTGCCATCAGAACACCCTGACATTGGTGCTTGCGAGTGTTTGGCCAAACTTCCCAGCCTCCGCGAACATCAGCTCCCTCATGTCACGCATCTCACGACCTCGGCAAGGAATCCGACTATGACTTCTGGCAGAATTCCCGCGGGATGTGGAGTGTGAGCGGGTTTGCAGCTTCCAGCCTTGGCGGATTAATGTTTGCAGCTTCATTTTCGAGCTTTCTCTAACTAACATATCACTAAAGGTTTATATACCATGTCTCTCTGCCCTGATACCGACGCCCTACTTGACTGCAGTCCCAAAAGCCTGAACCATAAGCCTTCAAGACCCAGCCGCAGCCGAAAAACCCAAGCTTTGAATGCAACGACGCGCACTTTCGTATAGGGGCCTTAATAATTACCTATGCTATTTTGGGGGTTTCTTATTATGATTATGGTGTAATCTAACCTAAAATTCTAATTATTACAGCCCCTACATTACATCCAGACACCACGCCATCACACCCGAAAGCCGCAAAATCCGAAGCATATGTGCGCAGTCATCTTCAATCCTGAGTGCAAGCCCAACAGCTCGCAACCCAACAACGCAACCCTCAGTTGAGACAAAGCACGCAGTTCCTCGGACATCTTCTCTTGCAACTTGTCCACCTCGCAGATACCCAAAATGTCGGGTCCCAGAGAGATAGAACCCTCATAGCATAGAGCCAGCATCCTACACAAGTTTGCGTTTCGGGCCCTTGCATTTGCTGGGGGTTGTGGCGGCTGATGGTTCAGGCATTCAGGCTTCCGTGCTCCAGGATTTGTGCGACCCTATGTCCCAGATCCCTATGTCCCAGTGGCATGGCTTCTTGTGTCACTGCAGCTGGCACGGATAAGCATGCCACGAAGTACGGATACAATGCGTGAACTCAAAACCCTATAAGCCCAAAAGATTTCGGGCTAGCACTCACGATCACCACCACAACATAGCAAGACATGCCACTACCACCGCAACCACCGATGACTCTAACCCTGAATTAGGACCTCTAGAAATTAAACCCGCTATGGACTCCAAAAGGGGTACAGAGTTTGGAGATCACAGACAGTCTAGACGGATCGATTCGAATCAATCCTAGCCAAACAACTTCTCAAACCAAAGCCTGCACGCTACATTGTCCCTTAGACAACCCTAAACTTAAAGCCTAAACCCTAAAACCCTAAACCCTAAACCTAAATCCCTAGACCCTCAACCCTCAACCCTAAAACCCTAAACCCTCAACCCTCAAACCCTATACCCTTAAAACCCCCTTGAACAACCACCCATGACCTTAACAGCGCTCCAAAGGAGTCCCTGCAAAACTGGAGCCTCGTAGGAAACTCAAAAAAAAACCTAAAACCCTAAACCCTAAACCCCTAAACCCCAAATCCGAAATTCAAAAACAACGAGGCAGGGAGCCATCTTTTGCATCTCCATGAGCAGGACGTGGCTCAAGTCCTCGAGACATGATGCGGTTCGGGCTTGGGGGTTTTAGGGTTTTAGGGGTTTTGGGTTGCGGAGTTTAGGGTTAAGGGTTTAGGGTTTTAGGGTTTAGCGTTTGAGGTTTAGGGTTTTTGGGTTTAGGGTTTGGGGTTTAGGGTTTTTGGGTTTAGGGTTTGGTGGTTCAGGGTTGCTGGGTTTAGGGTGGGTTTAGGGGTTTGGGGTTTTAGGGTTTAGAGTTTCGGGTTTAGGGTTGTTGGGTTTAGAGTTGGGTTTAGTGTTTAGGGGTTTGGGGCTTACGGGTTTTGGGGTTTAGGGTTTAGGGGTTTCCGGTTCCGGGGTTTAGCGCTTAGGGTTTGAGGTTTCGGGCTTCGGGTCTAGAAGGGTTTAGGGCCTTTGATCGAAGTGCCAACACTAACAGATTTAGGAGGCGGGCTCTTCTTCCTTCCCTGCGCCTTGGGCACGTCGAAGATGAGGAGGGCTGCCAAAAAGGCCCTTGACACTCAACCTTACAAAAAATCTATCCTAGACCCTACTCCGTCACCAGTGAATATAAGTATATGTACCACAACTCTTTAATTATATATATATATATTTATATAACACACACACACACTATATATATATATATATATACAAACATGTGTAGATATAGAGAAATAATACAGTCTCATACATTATACTAAATTGACCTCGAGCCTGATACCTCCATGTACCTCAACTCTAAACTCTAAATCCTGAACCATAAATCCTCAACCCTATAACCGCTAAACCCTGAACCCAAACCCCTAAACCCTAACCCCTAAACCCAAGTTTAGGGTTGCGGGCCTGGGCTTCGGTGCTGAGAAGCTTGAGTGTTGGGGCACTTGGGGCTGTGCCTGGGGCCCTCGTCGTTCGAGCTATCCTAGGGGTCAGGGGCTAGGGTTTATAGGGTTTAGGGTTTAGGGTTTAGGGGTTAGACTTAGGGTTTTAGGGTTTAGGGTTTAGGGGTTAGGGTGTTGGGGGCCCTCGCGCAGGCGTACTATGCATCTTTTGACCGATGATGTAGGGATGGTCATGCAACACTGTCTGGAAACATTGAGGCTACCCTTCACTACGCCACGAAAATAAAACCCAGAACTTTTGCACAGGGTAAAATGAAAAGCAAAAAGATTCGAACAAACATGATCGTTGATAATCAGTTTTCAACATGTTGTTAGGGCCCCACCCCCCATGAATACTTTTGAGTAGATGCCTCTACAAACCTTCACTGGAATCGAATGAACCTTCCAGCCAGTACGCACTACTGAACTCTTGAACCTTAAACCCAAAGAGCCTAGCTGTTGTGCTGGAGTCCTGGAAATGATGCTCTGTGCATCCCCCATCGGGAATCTCCATCCTCCAACGGGGTGACTGCCTGGTCTCTGGACAAGGTGGTACTTTAGGTGACCATTGAATAGTTACGATACAGCTTGGGGTCCCTAAACCCTAAACCCCTAAACCCCAAAACCCTACTATGCTGGTTGCAAACACAAACTCTAGGATTTCTCAAAATTTTCTGGCTTTTGAAACCGAAGTCCACAGTTCTCCCGGGTTGTTGGCAGGGACAGTTGGAGCAGCATCGCCTCTCAACCTAATATCGGGGCCTCAATAATTACAATAGGGATCCTTTAAAGGGTTCCTTTAAGGGTTCTATACTATAAGGGATACTAGCAGGGGTTAGGGTTTAGGGGCCTCAAGTATTAGAATAAGGTCTTCGGGCCCGATATACCACGTATACTTCTAGACTTATGATGAGGGCCCCCCTCATTCAGAAAAACACACACATATTGCTAACTACTCAAGCCCCTACATTAAATCGTCCAGTTTGAAGCCGGGTAGAATTCGATCACCGCCCGATTGCTTGTAATTTGGACTGGGCCCCACATTACGATTGGTCCCCATATCGCACAGACCCCACACGAGCCTGGCGGCAGGGAGCACGAAGCAAAGTGGCTTCTTGGATACTGCAGTATTATAAAGTCATTTGAACAGAAGCGGCTGCAACGGTGTCGGGTTGAGGGTTTAGGAGGTTCGTGGTTATAAGTAACGTCATAAGTCCTCTGATATGGTTTATAAGTGTAGCTACCCTAGTTACAAACCCCACTTATAACTACCCAAACCGCGAGTCTAGCTGAGGACTATTTCCCAAAGCTCACAGGGCTTTCGGGTTTAGGGTTTCGGCCAAGAATAAGGGACAGCTTTGGGGGAGTAAACGCCTCTATAAGACGCAGGACATGTCTGCTTTGTAGTTTCCCTGGGACCCGGGCCCCCAAAAGTGGGTTTAGGGTTTAGGGTTTAGGGTTTAGGGAATAGATGCCTTCAAGGTTTGGGATTTAGGGGTTTAGGGGTTTAGGGGTTGAGGTTCAGGCTTGTGGGGTTGAGGGTGGAAGGGGCCCCTTCTCTCTTATCGACCAGTGACAAGACGAGTCTGAGCTTCAGCACTGTAACCCCTGAAACATGTCTTGGAAATCGCTGAATTAAGATGACACAGAACCGACTATACACATAAATGTGACTGACTGACCAGACTGAAGGTAGGCAGTGCATCGCATCCTTGCTAGCAGCCATGAAGGGATGCTCTTAAGATCGTGGCTGCTGTTATGGGCATCTTCATTGTCATCAGCAGCACCGTCTGGGGTTTAGGGTACGTAATTACCCATGACATCACATGATCTGCTTTGGAGAGTGTCGGGAACCATCTGTCCATACTAAAAACCCGTCTCCCCCTCTACATCTGCACAAGAAGCCGCATCCCCCAAGAGAGACGAAGGCAGCAGGGAATCCTCGTACTTCATGTTCCTATTCTTCTCGTCTTCCAGCTTGTCGCAAAGAGCTCTGCTGTCTTCAAGCTGGCCGGCAGGGTGAGCTCACGGGTGTCTTTCTCAACTATCCACTTAAGTGCCTAGGGTTCAGGGTGCAGCAGGGACGCAAAAAACGGGGCTGTGTAAACAGACGAAACCCAGACTGTACTGCAGAAGCCGTGAACACGAACCCTCCACTCCCTGCATCTCAAGACCCTATGAGCAAACCCCTAGACCCCACTCAACCCTAAACCCTCAACCTCGAGAATTTCAAGAGTTGACTGCAAGCGAAGCACTCAACACACAGACGCGGCCTGCTTTTCGAGATCCAGGATCTCTTCATCTTTCTGTTTTATCTGGGCCTTGGAGTACCAAAAGCCCCTCTGCAAAATCCAAAAATCTTTGCAGTGACCCTTGTAGTAGTAGCAGTAGTAGTAGTAGTAGCAGCAGCAGCAGCAGTAGTAGTCGCAGTAGCCCCCCCTAAACCCTAAACCGGCCCTTGAAGACTTGAAGTAACCATGAATATAGTAACCCAGGTAACCCAAGGAGGCTCCAACAGCGCTCCAGAGGAAGAAATGTAGGACAATGTAATGTAGTAAAAAAAGGGTTTAGGGTTTAGGGTTTGGGGTTTAGGGATTGTAAGATATATTATCGTAAAGTATTATAACTAACATCACAATATGGTAAGTGTACTTTGATGGACAAGAGGCCCTGTCTAGCGCCCGCGGTTTCAGATTCAGGGCTTGGTTTCTATAAGGGTTTAGGGCTTAGGGTTCCGGGTTCAGGGTTGA